CCCCAAATGCTGCTACTATTGCAGTCAGTGCCCCAGCAACACGTTTGGAGAAGCTACCAGCCTTCTGAGTGTACTGTTTCTGAATATTTTCAAATTTGGACATCAGTTATACTCAATGAGTTTTATCTGAAATAGTAAGAGACAAAGTCTTTGTCCTCTATTCAAACTAATTTTGTAAGACACTGGAATTGCCTTGCTCCAAAACTAGTGCCATAAACATAGACCAGTAATGCCTGTGCCTTAGTCTAACCAAACTGCATATAATTACTCTTTGCATTACAAGTGTTCAGTATTCTTGAGAGATGAATGGAAATTATTTAAATATTGCATAAACACTTTTTTAAACCACATTTTAGTTTCTCTTGCTAGCGTTATTGGGTTTGGGGTTTTTTTGGTTATAGATGACAGGCTTCCCTCTACAGCCATGTAAATTTTATCGTCAAGAAGCAGTTATTCACCCCACCATCCATCTCCAAGAGCTTTAGGTTTAAGCAGACCTCAGAGACCACAAGTTGCTAGTCTTATTTGCAAAGGGGAATTCCCACAGTCCATACCCCCAGGACATTAAGGATACATGAACTGTAACCTTCCATGTTTCTTCAACCTCCATGTTGCCTAAGCAAGCCAGAAAGGTACAGGAGATAAAACATATCATGAGTTCTGCAAAGGAGGCCAGAGTGCTTGTCCAAACCAGGCAAAATCCCAGAGCTGGACATGTCTGAGCTGAGTGTCTTGGAATGAAACACCCTCATGGTAAACTAGCCACAGCCAACATGAATCTCACAATTTGTTCAGCTCCTCTCTGACGAGAGGGTCACTCTGCTTCTCCCAGCCATGTCTGAACATGGCAGTGGCATGCAAGGAAGACAGGCCCAAAGGGAAGCTCATCAAACTGAAGGTGCTCAGGGAAATCTAGAAGCACAACTGGAAAACTGCTAATTCAGCCAATGTTTCTTCCTCAGTACCTTATAAGTAGATTCTAGTGTCAAATATAACCTTGAGCATTCAGGTTAATTAATTTAAATAGACATTAAAAGGAAAACATTGAGGGAATACATGAAGTCTGAGATCCCAAACAGTTCCTCATTCTTTTCTTCTTCTTTCATCACCTTGAATGTTTTAAGGACCAATGATTTAATTTTATTAAGAGCTTTGAAGGTGAGGAGTGTTGGGTAATTACTAAATATGTTTCTTCCTTGTGCTAATTTCCAGCTCCTCTAGCACCAGCCTGTCCTTGTATGACCCTAGCCAAGTACAGCTGTGTCAGTCATTCCATTCAATTATGAGGCCTATCTGCTCCTAAATAGTGTTACTTTGAAACAAAGCTTACCAATTTAAAGAGTATTCTCACCACTGCAAGACTTACAGATGTGGACTCTTAGATGCAAAGCTTGCTTGCTACTCCTGTTCACTAGTACCACTGATTTTCATGCTCATATGTAAACAATGTGATTTTTAGAGCAGATTTAGATGAGAGTAAAGCCAGTAGAAGATAGTTAACAAGATGGGGGGGAGGGAGAAAGACAACTAAAAGACAGAAGCTGTTGTACACCAGCCCAGCAAAATTCCTGTAACAGGCGCTTCCCATCTGGCCATGCAATTTCTGTAATGCCCAGTTAGTCATCTAGCAGCTCAGGCTCTGAGGGACATAGCCATAGCAGGTTAGCATATTATCACTCCCAGCTGTCTGCTTCATCTTCCTGCTGGAAATCACCTCCCAGAGCACAGGAGGCTGAACAAACACATGGGGCATAAGGGCTCACAGCCCTGTGGCTTGGTGCGCAACCATGTTCTGCAGGAATGTGAGCTGGTGGCCCCACAACTGCAGTAATGAGGCATGAAAGTGTGTTCCCATCTGTTGTCCCTGTTACTGGGGTAATCATCTCTACCAAAGGTACAAGGCTTGCAGCCAGAACGGTCACATAGATACACCACTGTAAATATGTCCAAGCTAATTTACCTATGAACCTTCTGCCAAGAACAAGAGCAGGAAAAGAAACTCTAGGAAGAGGTAGGGAATTCATCTGAGCTTCTAGGCTGTACTATGCACACCTGCCTAGTCTTCTAGGAAAAAAACAGTCAAATTCATCACTGTGACCACCTCCCAACAGTAAGCTAGGCTGAAATTTTGCACTATGGTGCCACTACAAGTCATATGCAAGGAAAACCAAATACCAAGCCAATATTGCAATAAATCTCCACTAGGGTACCTGGACAAGGGCAAAGTGGGAGGTGGGATGCATGGGGTCAGCTGGCACTATACCACGTAAGGGGTGATCAGTGGTGAGATGCCACGTACTTCCCAAATTTACCTCTCACAAAGCTGGACTGTACTACAGAAACCAGTCTTCAGCGAGAGCTGTACGTTCAGTGCTAAATACAGTTGAGAACTCAGGATTAGCCACAGCATCAAATTCAAACAACAGGTCTAAGATCTTAGAATGCATTGATTGTTTACAAAAGCCAAAGACTTGCCTCTTTCTCACAGCAGTTGCCTGAAAGATTTAGAACTGTCTGGAGCAAAACTTCAGTCAAAATCCTGCTCCTGGGCACCTTCATGCTAGCTGCAAATATGTTGCAGCCCAAGCCCTTCTCACACAGATACACAGACAAAAAATGCCCTTTGGTCCCTCCCTCCCCGCCTCCCCAGTAATCAGATTTTCAATGATAAACCTCAAGGTGTTTGCAAAATTTCCAGCAACATTTTAAGCGCTGGTAAAATATCAAAGCTGAACTGGAAAAGCAAAACTCTGCAACCAGTTGAAGAGTTTCTAGTTTTAATTATGGAAGAGGGAGCAGATTGAAGGGAGTGGGTGGAGGGAAGTCTGGGAACATACAGTACTGAGCAGCATAAAATGTTGCAGGGAAGTGGAAGGCTGAAGGGCAGCCCCACGTATTTTAGAGATTTAATGGTAAATGTTATTGCTCTGCACATGTGAAAGACATAACATGTATTTTTTTCACTCTAACCAGCTCACTTCAGATTGAAGCAAACAAGGAAGAATAAGTATTAAAACTCCATGAGACACACATAGTGACTCACAGTTGTGCATCTGAAATGAAACACAAAAATGGCAATTGCCTCGAGTTGTTTTTGCCACATGAGGGACTCCTCAACATTTAAAGAAAGAGGGGTATGGCACACTATTGTTCATAGTGCACAGCTGAATTTACAGACATCTTCACTTATTAAATGGTTAAACCCCACTATTTTCTTTAATATCCTTTTAGCAGAAACCTTTATGCCTATGTATTTTGGAATCCAGACTCCCTGGCACCACAGCTTTAGCAACACAGCCATCCTTTCCATTGATTTCAGCAGGCGGCCCCCACGTACATCACGATATCTAAGATGTTGGATTGCAAAGTCATAGCCTGAATTTCCACAGGGAGATGGTCAGGAAATTAATTGGGGTTTCTTTTGCCAACGGAAGAGTTTACATTTCTCAGCAACGGAGTAACAACACAAAATCCAAGTGCTCTAATTCACAAATTTTGCTGTAATTTCTCATGTGAGTGCTTCCATGCTCTCTTCCTCTCTGGGGAAGAGACACCACTTCTCAGAATACACCCGAGTCTTATGCTGCATCACTAGCAGTGCAGTAGAAGACACTCATGGCCACAATGCACCATGAAATATGTCATCTGGCAAAAGAGCTCAAACCATAGAAAAAAACCCAAAACCAAACAGGCATGAAACACCCAAACTAAAACAACCCTGAGGTCAGGTTCACTGTAAACAAGCCTATGCTTTCCAGAGAAGCTTGGTTTCATGAACATCCCCTTTCGATCCAAACAGTTATTGATGAGAAATTTTGGAGATAGAAGTTGGATTTCTAGTTCAATACCATGATTTAATTTGCTGACTAAAGCACAGTCTAGTCTCTTTGAGAAGCGCATCATATATGTTCCAGTGCCATTTTTGACCGTAACTCCCTCTTGAAATTACATAACTGACAAATTTTAGTCATTAGAGAATCAGTACTGTTTGTAGGCATCAGTGCCCAAGTTGTTCTGAATCTGAGCAGCTGCTTCCTGAACCTTATCATCACACCACACACAAAACAGAAACGAGAGGAGCTTTTGCAGAAGTCCAGAGGAAAGCGGAAACCAAGCCCTAAGAGGTCGTAGAGGCCAGAGGGGAAGCAGACATAACGGTTCTGGAGGAAAAAAAAAAAAAAATAAAAGAAGAGAAAAAAAAAGAGAAGTTTGACACACTTTCCGGCTGGAGCAGGAAACTGCTCTCCTACCTGATTGCAACAACTTCTGAAGCTACAGTAACAAAGCAAGAACCAACAGGAATATGGAAGGAGAAAAGACAACCCTCTGACTCTTGTCACACTTGAGTAGACTCCAGGCACCAACTTTCTGTCCCAAGCAGATCATGCAACTGCAGAGACTGCTTTAGTGGTACAGAGGACAAAATCCAGTACAGGGAACTCAGAGCTGTAGGAAATACCAGTGACTTATCTCCCTCCTTTAAAGGGGTATTTTAATTTATCAGAACTTCAGACCTTTGCTACAGCTGTGGGGCACTGCTGCAAAAAATAGGGTCAGACTATACAGATGACACTTGTGACTCAAGTTTCACCACAGCATTAAAGGAATATTCTCCCAGCCTGTTATTTTGAATTCAGCAAGAAGATTACCTCAAGCAACAATAATTTAGAAACAGAATTCAATTCCCAAGTCTATATTTTGTCACCGTATAAACCGAGGACCCTACGGCTGCCTCTATATGTGCTACAATCACTTCTCTGGTTTCCACAGAGAAGGAAGCTGGATGCACAGGCTGGCTGGAAAGCCACCGTGAAGGACAATCCTACGCCTAAAACAGGCCTTGAGGCTCAAGATGATATGCTGCCGAACTGACCAAAACTTTCACCTCCAGCCACGGCTCTAGAAAACACTTGCACATGCTGTTGGTTGCAGCAGCTGAACCATCAGTTGCTCCTGCCAGCTGTTACCAGGGAATGACACGTTAAATAGCACGGAGTCTCATGGAGGCTAGCAAGGAAGAAGGCGAAAGTAGGGGGAAAGCAATTATATTTGTACAAGAGTTTTGGAGCTTGATGATGCAGAGGAAGGCATACCGCAGGAACTGGCAAGAGCCACGTTCATGTCAGTAATCAGCTGTGGGGCTCCCTTTGAACTCAGCTCTGTTAAAGTCTCACAGAAAGGGAGAAATATAGAATACTTCCTGGGTTAGAAATATCAGAGGATGGTGGAACTCCGCATGAAATACTGCAGGATCTCAGTTACACAATTTTATTTTCATTTTTGGCTCTTGTGAGACACACACACACACACACCCCCCCAGAGTACTGCGTCCAGCTCTGGGGACCCCAGTACAGGAGAGACATGGAGCTGTTGGAGCAAGTCCAGAGGAGGGCCACGAATTTGATCAGAGGGCTGGAGCACCTCTCCTATGAGGACAGGCTGAGAGAGTTGGGATTGTTCAGCCTGGAGAAGAGAAGGCTCCAGGGAGATCTAATTGCAGCTTACCAGTACCTGAAGGGGCCTACAGGAAATCCAGGGGGGGACTGTTTATCAGGGAGTATAGTGACAAGACAAGGGGTAATGGGTTCAAGCTGAAGGAGGGTCGATTTAGATTAGATGTTAGAAAGAAATTCTTTCCTGTGAGGGTGGCGAGGCACTGGAACAGGTTGCCCAGAGAGGTTGTGGAGGCCCCCTCCCTGGAAGTGTTTAAGACCAGGTTGGATGAGGCTTTTGGGCCTGGTCAAGTGGAGAGTGTCCCTGCCCACAGCAGCGGGGTTGGAAGTAGATGGTCTTTAAGGTCCCTTCCAACCCAAACCATTTTATGATTTTTGGACTTTTCATCCCACTTCAGGATTCAGTTTCCCACACAGCCTTGCCAAGGCATCTTGTGATACAAATTAATTTTAAAAAGTCATCATAACCAATTGCTCATCAGTACTGAAGAAGGTATGACAACACACAGAGCCTAGGAAGAGCAACTGTGCTAAGACTTCACTGTTGAATAAGTATTGACTATCTACCATCGTGGGAAACTTGCTTTCCCTGAACTTGACTCATTTTTCCACACAGTAGGTTTTAGGCCACATATAGGCTATCATCTGAGTGTGCTTCAGACTGAAATGGCAGGAATAACAGAAGTAGCTATTAAACATAGGGTATGGGAGCTTTGAGCACATCTTAGAGAATTCCTAAAGAACATGTAATCTGTTTTTTATAACACTTCTATATTTTATTGTTTTCTTCTATACAGTCACTATTTCATTAAAAATACAACTTGTTACCCACTGCTTTCTGTCTCCAAACAGATCCCCAGCAAGATTTTGCTTTCAGCATTGATCATTGCTCCGATATCACAACCCACACCTTTAACATCAGAGCTGCAATGGTCTTAAGTAAGTGAACTGCTATTTTCTCATGCTATAAACAGGTAATTCCTGTGTGAGTGCTGGTATTAAGAAATAAGCAAGGGTGACAACCTCCTGTAAAATATAGATGGGCTTCATGTCTGAGACATTTCAAAACCTGTGTGAGGCTACAGAAATGTCTGTTATCAGCTCTGTCTCAGACTACATGTACCACCCTAAGCAGGTCATGTCACTCAGCCCCATTCCTCTCCTACCCTTCATCCGTACACATGGATAGCTAACATGAGCTAGAGCTTGTCTTCACAGCTAAGTCTTCTGGGGAGAGTCTTGTTGAATGAGACAGCTACAGCACCCAGACTGTTGTGTCAGCACCAACTGTGCTTACCAAATCACCAAGGCTGACCCTTGCAGGTAGAAGGCTGAACTAAGGGACTCTGACAGAGTAAGGAGAGTTTATCTCCCCACCCTTCCTGGGCATGCAAAAAGCATGCTGGGGAGCAGTGGGGATCCAGAGTGCTGCAGGAATAAAAAAATTAGCTCATCACCTGAAATTACACCCTCCAGCACTTGACTGATCAGTGATAAAAGGTCAAAAGCAGAACTACATTTGAGCTAATGGGCTGGGCGCACAAGTTAATATTAACCATAGCTTGACTTGTGATCCTTACACAGGAAAGCCACCACCTTCTTGCAACACCATTGGCTCTAGAACCTCTACTACTAGAGCATAAACATGAGACCACTGGCGCTGAAAATAAGTTTTTGTGCAAAGTGTCTTTTAGCACTTGGGAATGCATCCTTGCATGCAAGAGGTCTCCCTTCTGTGAGACATGCTGCCCTTTTGCCTGGAGAACACCAGTTTTCAGGTAGCTGCAAAGTTAAACAAGCCTGCAAAAAAAAAATCACATTACAGGCAGTTCCAAATACTTTTCCAACAACTCAGAGTACAGGACCTCGCTCTAAATCCACCAGCCTCACTGGCTCTATCCGTATTAGGAAGGCAGGAACAAGCAGGCAAAATCCCAGCGCTGCTATGCTGGTCTCTGGCACATGCCAGCTACTGTTTTCCCAGGCAGCAGGTACATGCAGCTCCTAGGGGCCCATTTGATATAGTACCTCTGCTAAAGACAGTAGGGAAGAAAGAGTTTAGGTGTACAGACACAAGCTTTTACTATGCCTATTGGCCTCAGGGTCAGAGAGTGGTCATGAGCACGGTTTATTTAACAATAAAGTTATATGCTATATTATATCCTCTGTTATATACCTTAAGAGACTTAGAGACCTGTTCATGAAGCATGGATTTCTGTGTATCAGGAGTTCTCAGTGAAAACATTTGATGGCTTAAACAGAGGGGAAAAAATTGGAATCTTTTTAAAAATAAAATAAACCTCTTTACCCTCGCACTTTCTCTGAGCTCTCTCTCTGCTTTGTGTGTAGGACACAGCATCAAGGAACTGTACGTCAAGCTTAACCTGATCATAAATGGGAAGACCGTCTTAACCTACTCGGAGACACTTTGTGAGCCGGGTCTTTCTAAGCTTATTTTCTGTGGAAAGAAGAAAGGAGGTAATTTAGGTAGCACTCTAAGTGTTTGATGGCTACTGAATACTCCAAGCAGGATGCACCCACTGTGCTGTTGAATGCACCAATACATTGTAATGTTCTGTTTACTTCAACAGCACATTAATGGATGACAGAAACACAGTGGGACAGACACTTTAATTTCAGAGCCTGCTTTTAGTCCTAACCTGTTTGCTTGCTTTTCTTTTAATCACAGAACATTGCACACACATGGGATAAAAAAATAACTGTCCATAAAAAATAACTGTGGTAATGTGACCCCATCCAACAAGAGAGGTTCATAAACTTTATTTATAGCCACATGGCTGTCATGTGAGCAAGAAGTATTATAGAACTGGCCTTTATTTTTGTCAAAGAAATGGCTGAGCAAACAAACAAGCTGTTCTGAACACGTTCTTCACTATTAAGCAAGTAACACTTCCTGTCTTTAAAGGCAGTTCTTAACTCTAAGAGGAATTATGCTTAAATAGGGATATTTGGACTAAGATACTACTTGGTACCATCTATGGTTTACGTCTTGTTTCTGCTCAACACATGCCTATGCAGCAGTCAGATTTCAGTTCATGCCAGTCAAACTGCTAACAGACTTACACTAGTTGGTTTACAGTGGCATTAGCTGCCCCCAGAAAGCAGGCATCTTTGGTCCAAGGTGAGCCTGGGCACCTCAAGGTCCCTTCTGCCACAGCCCAGGCAGTACGAAGCTAGCCATGGTGTGCCTCTGGACTGTAATATCCGTGTATCTCAAAAGGTTATTTGAAATCCCTTTTACACCACGATCATCTCTTCGTGAAAGGAGATCTGCACAGAAAGTTTCAGAGTTGTTAGAGCACTAGTTAATTTCAGAAGCTCTACTTTCCTTCCATTCATTTGGATCTCCATCCTGATAACACTGCAGTAATTCATGTGCAAGGGCTATGAGTTTAAAGACCATGAACAGTGCTACTGCTAAGACAGCCCCTGGAAAATTACTAAGACATTTCACACAGCATGGAAATATCACAAAGAATAATAGAGAAATGCTGCATGAGCAAGCAATTATGTAAATCCTGTAAGCCAGATAGAAAAAAATTAAATTCAGAGGTTTCTTCAATTGTGTGTTGAATTACAAGGGGAAAACACCACCCACAGATCTACTGAAAACTATCTTATTCTGACGAAGTACTAAATAACATCCTTTAAAGAATACATTAAGGAGAAATGGAGTCAGTCCTGAGCTGAGCACAAAATGTTGTTCACACATTAAGCAAAGCCAAAACCTCCTGGGGTTTCCAAATCCCTTTAGACAGGTGATTGCCTCTACTAATTGAAGCACATTATGATATAAAACCATAGTTGATTGTTTATATAATACTGTATATCTTCATTTAGAAGCATCCCTAAAAGTTAGTGCAAGGACCTCTGCCGCACACTTTTTAATCCACACCCTCTTGTTCAGTAGTTGTTTTTGTTTAGTAATTAAAATCACAGTGGGAAAGAAGTGAGCTTTCTCAGACTAAGGTTCAAACTGAAAATGTAGTATTTCTTAATTATTTGATTCTAAGCCATGTTTTAGGACACAGAATTGAACTGAAGACCAGTTTGAGGCAATTCAGCACAGCCATAATTTACCATATTATCACAGCTCTAAGTCTGACCCAATACCTATGCAGGTAGGACAACATTGTGAATGGCCAAGTATGCAGCCTAGCAAAGGCACAGAGGAGCAGATAGCCCTTTCAACTGAAGCTTTTCATGCTGATCCCCTTTTTCCCCTGTTGTACAGGCAACATTTCCAACATCTGGCCAGACCTGACCTGAGTTTAAATATAGTTTCACACAGAATTTGCTTGCATTCCACAAGAACGCCAGAAATTGCCTGTTCCTCCCTCTCCCAAAATGAGACAGAATGTAGCTCTGCTACAGGCTTTGTTGGTCCACTCACTCATATGGACAAGCAGAGCAGAAGTTACAAGGAAGAGAGACTTAGAGCTGATGTGGCAAAGGCTTGCATGTTTGGTGGTATTTTGGTTTCATTTTTTCCTTTGTTCTCTTATAATGCTACAGTTTTGTCATGACTGAAAATACTTTAGGAAATTTAATATAGCTGGAGGTTTCATGTTCATCATAATCATACAGTATTTACATTAATCAAACATCACATCTGGCACTGCTCACTGGGATTCCTAAACAGGATTCCAAGATCTTTTTCTTTGAGCTCTACAACTGTTGTGAAGTCGCTAGCTCAAAGATTGCAAGGAAATGGGCCATTGTCCATTTAAGAACAACAACAACAAAAACGGCTAAATTCTTTGTGGCATAACATGAACTCAACTCTTCCTCTTTAGTAGAAAGTGTTGGTTATTCCCCATTTCCTCCAAAGAGTATAGTTACATAAGATTTAACTGGTTTCCTAATGCATTCACTAAAAATCAGAGAAAAAGACCTCCCAGGGTAGTCTTTAGCAATGTGCCAACCACAACTTATAGGCTTAAACAAAACTCCCTGACAAAAAGACAGTTGCATCCTCTGCAAGTTTTCTTTCAGTCTCAATTGATAAAGGCACCATCAGAGAACTTGTACACACTTGTGCACACTCCCAAACCATAGAGAAAAAACAATTTGCTTCAGACCTCCATTCTTTACATTATTGCCTCTTTTGGTAGGTGTTACAGTGAACAAGTTTCTAAAATCGTATTTGTGAATAAAAGTGGAGAACATGGTATAAGTTACAGAACTGGGTATCACATTGAGATTTTAGATACATTTTTCTGAGAAAGCAGCCACTCCACAAAGCTAGGTCTTCGGGCTGATATACAATGCTGTCTTGCTTAGCCCCTTCATCTCACTTTTTCCTCCCCAGTAAAGGGAGTGGATGTTTCTCATCCAGCTATGTATTTATATACATTTTTCTCACTCAACTATACATCTAAAGCTGGCAGTTATCCATATTATTCCTGCATCCCTAAAACTCACAGAAGTTGTGTGTCAGTTGCATGGGTGCAAGATCATGTCCTAGAAGAACTCCAACAAGGAGCATTTAAGTTCTAAAAAGATTTAAAACAGAAAAAGGAAGAGGTGGGTGCAGATGTACAGGGCCTTTATATAGTACAAGAGTGTGAGAACGTTTAGAGATTTGCAGTGCAAGAAAGATTTGAGAAAGAGGAGTGAGAATTTCATTATAGGTGTTTTGTCAGGAATGAGAGGCATCTTCACAATAAATGATAACTAGTAACTTGAAGTAATCCTCAGGAAGTTCTTATACATTCAAAAGCTCTGCTTCAGACTGGAAGCTACTAGAGGCCTGCTCCCTGGCAGGGAAGAGGACTAAGTTACTTCTGGTAGAAACAACAGTGAAAAGCTGCTACACCAAATACAATATTACCTTGAATCAGTGGTACATTAGAAGTGTTTTCCAGGATGCTCTATAGAAATCGCCTTCAGTTAAGTCTTTAAGAAAAAGGGCTGAAAATGGAAGGTGGACTGAAAGTACGTCACTGATGACAGCATGCTTGACATACCACAAACTTACCAGCGGACCAATAAAGACGGGAATTTTTAATTGGAGAAATGCACTCGTGATTTATGCTGTTCCCAATGTTCATATGTTTTTTGAAACTACATCTGGGCTTCCTCTAAAAACACCACAGAATTCTTTCAATGAGCTAGGCTCAGTGTTTCTGACAGTTACACTTACTGCAGCAGACACGTTCATCCTCTTTCTATGGAGGAATGTAAAAATGTATGAATGTGGAGAAAGATATATGAGCATATAAAGGATGCTATGATAAACTACAATCCTTGGAGGATGTTTACGCTTCTGGAATTATAGCAGAAATCCTTATGTGATGGGAACATTGAATGGGCTTGAAAACCCTGATCCAGTCAGCATAGGTACTGAAGAGGTTGCCATGGTCCAAAGTGAATATGAATGATAAAATTCAGCAGAGCTATAGATCCATATTATTTCCTGGCAGGTCTCAAGTAGCTGAAAGTGAAAGCTGCCCTTGTTTTCCTACTCAAGCAGGGCCACCTACAGCCAGTTGCCCAGGACTGTGTCCAGGCAGGGTTTTTGAAGACTCCACAACCTCTCTGGGCAACCTCTGCCAATGCTCAGTCACTATCACAGTAAAAAAAAGTCTTTCCTGATGTTCAGGAGAAACCTTTTGGTTTCAGTTTGTGCCCACTACTTCTTATTCTGTCACTGGGCACTACTATGAAGACCCTGGCTCCATCCTCTTTACCCTTCAAGTATTTGTTTATATTGATGTGCTCTTTCCTAAACTTTCTGCTCTCTAGGCTGAACAGTCCCAGCTCCCTCAGCCTCTCCTCGTTGGTGAAATGTTCTAATCCCTTAATCATATCAGTGGCTCTTTGCTGGACTCTCTCTAGTAGCTCCATATGATTAATAACTGTGAACCACTGCAAGACCCCTGGTTAGAAAGAGCTGAATAAGGGCAGTGCTGAAGCATAAAGCAGTAGACCTGGACCTCAAACTGGGCACACAGCACCTAGCCCCACAGTTGAAGGCCCCCTAAAAGATAGTACAGCCCATGAGAGTGACTCCATTGATTAGCGAGCAAAGGCATAGCTACCACACCTCAGAGCAATCATGGAAAACTTCTCAGAAAAGGCTGAGGCAGAGCCTTAAAACTGTATTCATCTAGCTCTGATGCAGTCATTACTTTGTCACAGTAAAGTGGGCAGGGAGGGGAATAGCTTCTACCTACACTGAAGGAGAGATTAGCATTGCCATCATTTCAGAAGCAAATTTATGGCCTGACAACTCCTACTTCATTTTAAAATATAGGCTTTGCAAAACTTGAGCACTATATCTGTATGTTTAGATTCTGGATGGCTTTCCAACAGCCTAGGTGAGACCCTAACAAGTCACACGATCCAAGAGGAGTTTCCATGTCCCTGTGAAGGACTCTGGGGAAGGGTGATTGTTCACAGCCCAGTTTCCCCTCCACTCTCCCCTGCTGCCATCCAAGATTTGCTAGGCTCAGAGTTGACTGAAGGAGAGACAGTCAAACAAGGCTTTCTACTGAATGAAAGGACACAAACCATGGTCCACACCATCCTGAGGGCACAGCTCACAATCTGGCTTAGCACACATACATCTCAAGTCCCAAGGGAGCCACTTGTCACTCAAGCCACCCAGTGCCTTTAACTCCTATTTAGACTCTAGTAAAGTTGTGAACTGAGAAGTGGGCTGTACTGTATTTTTAAAATTCTTGAGTCACCGCTCTCTGTGGTAGAGATGTGTCAGACTCCAGGGCTCTTGCTTCGTGCACAGAAGCAAGCAGTGATAGTAACAGCTCTTTGAAAAGGAAAAGACTTCTTGGTGTCCAGGTCAAGTAGCCAGGGATGCAGAAAGGAATGAATACAGTATGAGTTCTGCAGCATAGTTGATCAGTTTGAGAGTGACAAGCCAAAAACATACTTGTTCTACTCTGTTTGGTATTAGGTTTTTCAGGGCAACACTGAGAAGTTCTGCATCTTCTCTACCTCCCATTATCATCAGGACATTTAACAAACGCCTCATTAATGCAAAGGTTTAGAACATTGGTGATATCTCAGGTTTCTCCTACTCTTTTCTGAGTTTATCTTATAGTCATGATTCTTTCATATAAGTTTGTTACAAGGCATTGACTAACATTTCATAGCATGCGTGGGGAAGACCTTCTGCAGACTCTTTTCCAAGTGGAATACCTACTGCATGGTGGGATGGACCATATGACAAACATGTTACAAACCTTTTGTCCAACCTTTCACAAGCAACAGTTTAAACCAGCACAGCAAGACTGGACTAAAACAACGAGCATCAAGATGCCAGCACATACTCGTATAAATATGATCAAACACTCCTCTGTCACTGTCAAAGTAAAGACTATTTCATGATACCTACAAAAGAGAAACAGTTCTTAGACTTTTCCACAACTTGTGGGAGGCAAGTTGTGCAAGAAATTCTGAAATACTGAAACATCTACAAATTTTATTTTCAGTCAAGTCTGCACAGTTTGGCCCAGTAAGCTATGAAAAAGTAGGAGGAACTGCAGAACAGCATGCTAATTCTGTCCATTAATGCCAAAGTTGCCCTTTCTTCAACAGCAAAGAGCAAGCATGCCTTGCAATTAAGGAGATGAGGATTGGAAGGTGGAACTCCTGGGCTCTATTCCAGTCACCAACACAATTTTTGATGGCTTTAGCACATCATGTAGCTTCATTGTGAATGCACCCTCAGCAGTGAGGTAGACATGTTCTTAATACTTTAAGGTCACGTTCAGCAAGCAGTCAGTAGTCCACACTTCCAGAAAAACTCAGCTCAGGTTGGTTCTTCTTAAAGTTACTAAAACAGTATAGTTCAACTATTGCACCTGCAGGTGTTTAATAGATCATGCTAAAAGGACTTGTGTCTGGCAGTTTCCCTCCCCTTTCATTTCCTCATTTGCAAGATGCATGCTGATATAGGAACACCCACCCTGTTGTGCAAAGAAATGACCCTGTCCTCTGCTCAGAAAGGGACTACAGGTCCTCCTTGAGCCCAGACTCTGCCCTGATTTGCCCATAATGCAGTACAAATCCTGACATTTCTCTCAGGAGGGCTGTTAGCAAGACATAACACTTGTAATTGCACTTCAAAATGCTCCAGTGACAAAAGAGCGTCTATGATCAGCTGCTTGTTTCCTTTATGTGCTGCATGTCTAACCACCCATCACCATTTTTATGTTTCAGAACATCTCTACTATGAGGGACCAGTCACATTGGGAATCAAAGAAATCCCACAGGTAAGATCATGACAGCTGTGATCCCAAGCAGAAGGACTTTCTGGATGAGGTATGGTCAGAGAACTGCCAGCAATAACATCAACATATTCCAAGCTCCTCCAGCTGGCACACTGGATCTGATAGTGTTTACATGTTTTTGATATGAAATTAAGTGGCTCTGCTTAAAGCATTAGAGAGCCACCATTATCCAGAGATGGACAGGTTTTCTTAGGATAGCAGATCCCCTCTACCAGTACTACATCATGCAGCCAGACAGTTCTTTAGTCAGCTCCCCTCTCTATTAGTCTTAAAACAGCAAGAAAAGAATCAGCTCCAAGCAACTCTTGAGTGACCAAGGCTGCAATGCAGCTCACTCCTTAGTGGGCTGAACAATTTGGAGAAGCTCATTCATCCTCAATGGCTATAAAAAGCAATTTAGATAACTATTACAATTGTATGTGTTGCACTGTATATATATATGGTGTTTGTTAGAGACAGAGGTCTTCAGTTACAACCTAGAAAGTATAAGCTATTGGGCCAAGAACACTTTCTCTGGACTTATAGAGCCTTAAAGAAAAAAATTTCTTAGGTGAGAAAACGGGCTGTACTCCAGACACTGCTCTGAATTCCCTGGTCATCCATTACAGATGGTCTTTACAAGCAGCCTTCTCCACACTCAGCTAAGTCTCCTTCTAGAACATCAATTGAATAATATTGCAAAGCAAGATGGGTCTCAGATGCTGAACACACCAGTCTCTCAACTGTATGCAACATGAAGATATGTTTGACCAGTAAATAACAAAGAATTTTTAGCCACGTACACAAAGAGACTGGATTGAAGGGGAGAAGGCAAAATCTGGATCAAGGTATCTGGTTAAGAATGTGGTGAAGAAAGGATCACAGTCACCACTGTGAAAGCACACCATTCAGGTGGTCAAACACTCCTTTAAATTTACTTACACAGAGGAAGAAGAGCACAGCATGAGCTCTCAGTTCTTCAGCAGCAGACATAAAACCTGTATCAGAGCCTCAATATGAGCTCTGGGGTCTGCTCAGCACTGGATTCATCCAGGTGCAGGAAAAGATAAGATCAGAACAAAGATACAGAACAAGGACACTAGTCTGAGAGCCAGGCTTGCCAAGACCTGCAGAGGTGATAACAAGGATAGCTGGCTTCTGGGAGGATCAAAACTCTGTAAAAGCTACCAAGTCGTACACCTCAGTCTTCCCTTGGCAATAGCAGCAACCACAACCTGAATTTCCCAAGACTTTCACACGGGGAGCTGGGCCCCCTTATGCAAGCTGTTATCCCACCCTTACCAGCCTGCTTCCCTAAAGGCTACATCTAGACATGCTGTGTTGAGCAATGCCTCTTGATCTCTCACACTGGAGTGCCCAAGATCGTATCAGTCAGCATCCTGCTCCACGAGCAGCTTTACTAACATACTGAGGACGCTTATGTAGTAAAGTCCCTAGAAAAACTGAGAAATAGGTTTTTAGACCAAGGAGGAAGCCCTAGAAATACACAGACCAGTAAAACTCCAGTTCTGGGCAAATTAACTTAATTGGGAGCCAGAAATTCTTAGGACTATTCACAAACCTCTTAACAATTTTTACCCCATGAGGAAAAAATTACTCTAGAGGAAGAAAAAATCTAATCACTAATGAGCAATCAAAATGAGTTATTACATACTCTCTTCCATGAATTAAACTATAAGCTTTTGGAGAATTAACATGCTTGTTAGAAAGGGAATAGGAAGCCTTTTATTGTTAATTAATCAATCATACAAATAATGCCATCCTTCCATGCTGGCAATAAGGAGTTATTTTATACAGCAGTTATCTTCTGCTCATTACAAACAACAGCCTCATCTGATCAGCCTGAAGGACATTTGTACAGTCTGCACAGCAATTACAAGGCTGTATTCGCATGAGCACATTGCCATTGGGCCTCTCTAAATGTGGATGTTAGACTTAACTTGAACCTCTCTGAAGACCAGTTATTGCTTTAGAAATCCCATGGTAAACAGCAAATGCCAAGAAACCTGACTCATTCTAGCTGTGCCTCCCTTCTATTCCACAACCCAAAGTATTCTGAGCAGGGCAAGATCTTTCTATGGTTCAAAGCCAGGAGGCCATTGCTTGCCAAGATCTCCTACCCCAGGTTTTGCTCCCCTCCACACTCCAGAAAAAACAAAGAAATACTGCAGTGCCAGCAATCTAGAGTGAAATCTAGTTCACCTCTTCTTCCAAACCTCTTAAGTGAGCCTTGTCACCTCCCCTGCTCAGTGCTTCCCCAAGTGTCTGGAGAGAGCAGTTTTGACCAATACAAGACAGCCATGGCTTCTTTGAAGTTGAGATTTTTTACACTGCAATGCTACAAGTTCTCCTCAAAGCCTGAATTAGCAGTTTTAACTACACAATTTGAAACTAAGCTACTGCTTGTTTTATTATATAGGAATTAATCACAGACTGAGTCATCTATACATATAGATCTCCCAAGGTGGTCTTATAAAAATTCATATCGATAACAGTGTATACACTGAACAACAAGATCCAAGGAGGAGAAGTGCCAGACAACTGAGCGCCTCTTCCCTTAAAGTTACTAAACAGCACAGGCCATACTGTGCTTGTTCATAAGAAACATGTAAAGTTACACAGATTCTAAAGGAATTTTTACGCATCAAAACATTTTGTTCTCCTTGCACTGTTTTAATTTTGACCTTGTGCTGTCAGCATTGATATCCCTGATGAGACTATTTTGGCAGAATATACGGGCAAGTCCTTCACCAGTTCTGAAACATTTGGACAAGAAATGTTTTGGAGGAATTTGATGTGAAAAGTGTTATTCTGTTTCTAGGAAGAGGACTCTGTCTTAGAAACAGCAGTAGTTTTATACTACTGGTGAGCTAATCTCTTGCTTTATGTTTGTCTCATATAGGGAGATTACACTATTTCAGCAAAGCTGACTAATGAAGATCACGTCACTGTTGCTTGTGCCGATTTTACTGTGAAAAATTATTTAGAGTATTATTAGCAACAAACCGATTTCATGAAAGCTACAGACTACCAAAGCTATTCCAGCCAAGTGAGCTGCTTGCATGCTACAGTGATTCTAAAGGAAATAATCCCCACATGGTGGTTCTGATGCTATTCCTCTTTATAATTCACTGTTTTCAAGAAGTCACTAGACCCTCTAGTGGTAATTTTATCTCTAAATGCACACTGTAGCCCACTTTTTGCTTCTAATATATACAGCTGCAAGTAGAAAGTATCTGATACCAACATTTTCATCTTAGGATGAAAATGGCATGAGGCAGAACCAGCAAGAGGCTAAACATTTTTTTTTTTTCAGTAAGTTATGGAGGTATCCATTTTTAACACAGACTAAGGATGACTTTTACATGTATCACATATTCTGCAATTACAGCACTCAACATTTTTAATCTTCCCTGGGGCCTGTCTGGAGCCTCCACTAGTATAGATTTTGTTATAACCACAGAACAAAGACCAAATAGGATGAACACACCTTTTTTCTAGTTATTCATGTCCTGTCACTAGATTCATATCACTTGAGTCTTCTGGAGTCTACCTGGAATAATTTGCTCTTTAATGTCTTTTAAGTGGTATGTGAATCATTCTGTACCTAAGCTATGTGCTTTTCTTGCTTCTCAATAAATTCATAATGAAATAATTTTTTTCCTCATTTTTCCTCATGATTCTAGGATATATCCAAAGTTTAAAGGGGGGGGGGGGGGGGGGGGGGGGAA